ACCAAAATTCATGGAAACAATTAGTCCTAGCGACTGGTACACCATCGATCTGCAGCCTATACGACTATGAGATCGGAAGGACTACATGGTGCCCGGCTACCACTGTCATCCACTTGGAAGGGGTTCTACGTAGGAGATCCTTGATACAGAGGGAGAGCAATGTGGAACGAAACTCAAAATCATTTGGAGGATAAAAAATCTGATTTGATAAGAGTCTGGTGGAACCACTGAGACTATGGCGCCTAGCTGCCCTTCAGGTCTGGAATTGAACACACACCTATGGTTTCCAGCCAAACAAAAGACAGGCATATGAGTTGAACATTTACCTCAGGTAGATACTCTACTTGGAGAGAACAATCATGGGAGAAAGAAGGGCTGCTTTTGCACAGGGAGACAGCTCAGGGGGCAGGAGTCCATGGAGAGATGGACACAGGGAAGAGGTAACTATGGGGAGGAAGTGAGAGGGGAGCTGTTGTATTGTGGTAAACTGTGGTCAATGTCATGAGATAAAGTATATGTGAACTGCTGTATGGAAAGTGAATTTGCTGTGTAAATCCTCACCCAAATCACAATAAAAAAAGAAAATTTATTCTGATTTGGGTGAAAGTTTACAGAGAGAATCAGTTTGCCATTCAACAACTCACACACATTTTGTTTAATGTCACTGACTATTCCCACTATGTGATATCACTTCTCCTACTTCCTCCTTGTGTTTCTCTTTTCCATTCCTCCTTTTCTACTAATCTTTCCTGCTGTCTACACTTGGTCCCCATTGGACAAACTATCAATGCCATTTTCATCTTGAATAGTTGATAGTTCTAAGGAGTGTCTATTTTCCTAGAGTTACTGTTCACTTTGTAGACATGTCTATTGTTTGAATGAAAATTCAGCTATAAGAGTGAGTTCAGTTCCAGATCCAAAGTGTGACCAAGGGCCACAGTCTCAGGGGTTTAACCAGTCTCTAGCTGACCAGTAAGCCTGATCTTTTTCATAATTTTGAATATTATTCCACATTTTTCTCCCATTCTATCCAAGACCTTCTAATGTGATCCCTCTCACAGAATTGGTAGGGTTAGCTGGTCACCATGTAGTTCTGGTTTCAGGGTTGTGGAGGCTGAGGTTCACATGGTCCATTAGTCCTTTGGACTAACTGTATCCATGTGTCTATTATTTTCTTAGCTCTTCTTTGCTCTGGAGGGGGAGAAACCAATAGTAGCAACTTGAAGCTTTTAGACCCTAGTCACTACTCACCAAAGTAGGATGTAGAAAACTGTCTTTGTGGACTGTGTTGTGCCAATTGACCTTATGACTACTGAAACTATGGTCTCAAGTCCCCAGGCCCAGTGACTCACTCCCTCAGGGTTTTTGGTTATGGTTAGAAGTTTTCCTGTATACCCTGTATACCCTATTATATTCCTGTATCTATTTGCATCATATGTAAATACATATGTAGCAATATCCTCTTTCAAACCTACACATATTTGGGTACCACAGCTTCAGAACAACTATGTCAGTACTTCAACCTTTTTCCCTTTCCCCTTCTCTGACTTAGATCTTTTGCAAGGCATTTTCCCAATCAATTTCAAAACCTCAAGACTATGTTTCCCTGATTTCTCTTGGAGATGTCAAGGTGATTTTTTTCCCCATAGAAAACATAACACATTTTCTAGCTTTCTGTTATTAACCTTTCTCTGCCCAACACGTCTTTTTGGCATTTCTCACTGAGGCAGTTAGCCTGGGAGCAGGATACAGGATTGTCAACTCAAGTCAGTAGCTACAAAACAAAATTGGTTCTTGCTCTGCCAGCAGTCAAGAACTTACTGAAAAAGAAAACTTTAATGGAAAACAAAGCTTGGTCTCCAAAGGTCTTGCATGTACTAAGCTGAAGAGAAGAGTCACTTTCAAATTTCTACTCAGTGCAGGTATAAAGTCAATACTTGTTAATCAGTATAGTAATGGTCAAATACATGATGAAGTAACCAAAATGGTTGAGTTAAGAATTATGAGTCCTGACCTGGAACAATGCATATGAAATGGTCTTAAGTGAACACATAGAGAACAGTACCAATTTTGTAAAATAAATACATTTTAATCTGGGTACATACATATGAATGGAATATATATCAGGGTACAAAGGTGGTTCAGTAGTAGAATCCTCACCTTCCATTCAGGAGACTGGTGCAATTCCTGACCAGTGCATTTCAACTCATGCACAGTCACCACTCATTTGTCAGTGGAGTTCCTGTGTGCTGCTATAATGCTGAACAGGTTTCAGAAGAGCTCTGAAAGTAAAATGGACTAGGAAGAAAAACTTGGAAATCTACTTCCAAAAGTCAGCCAATGAAAACCCTATTGACCAATCCTCAACCAAACATAGGGATGGCACAGGACTGGGCAACATTCCGTTCCATTGGAATGAGGTCATCATAGCCTGGGCAGTAAACTTAGTGGCAGTTAACAACCACCGCTATATATTTATATGTAATTGTATGTGTGAGTCTGTATGTACACACATACATACAAACACACACACAAACAGATACACACACACATACATCTGTACATAAAAAGAAAAAGCTATGGAAAAATCATTCTAAATTGTTAGCTCTGGTTATTTCTTATGTGGGACTAAAGAGTAGAAAGGGCTTCGTTCTTTTAATTGAAAACGTCGATAGCGTTTAAACTTATTTCAGTGAACATACATTACTTGTCATTATACACACACACACACGTCCATGAAAACAACAAGCTACCTATCACCCCAACAAGAATAATAATAATGCCATCAAGGATAGAGCCCTGTGCCACATGCTTTAAGTACATCATCTCATTTAACCCTCACCCTATCTCCAGGCAGTAGGTACAGTTATCCCTACACTACAGATAAGGAGAGGAAACTTGGAGTCAAGTATTCAAGGCCACAAAAATTGAGCATCCAGTAAAATACATTATTTGAATAGGAGATACACTTTCCAAAATGCAGCCTGTCTGCACTTGATAAATATTTTTGTCACAATTTCTGCAAATTCACCTGCTTATCAAACTCAGGCTTCAGGGCTTCTTCAGTGAAGATGTGAAATTGAATCTTCCTGTGGCTGAAGAGCACTGCTGACTTAAGCATGACGAGTGTCTCTTCCAGCCGATTGCCACAGGCCACCACAGCCAGGTGGATCCAGAGCTCAGGTGGCAGCACATTTTGGAAACTCCTGAGTTCCCCAGGTCTCCTAGAAAGAAGAAAAGCAAGTTAAAGCTATTACCAAACTCATAAAAAACAGCCAGTGAATGGGTGGAACATTTCAAAACATGAAACAGGCACAATCTGTTATATTTTATAAAATGATAAGCATTTTGACAATTCTTCCTGCCTAGAGAAAAATACCATTTATTCCCATATTTATCCTGGCAATCATGGGATGAGTCACTGTTTGGACTGCCATAGGTGTCTGAGGCTTTTTCTGCCAGCACTCAGCTGTCTAGTGCTTGCTGGCTGCCTACTGGCCCATGTTTGGAAATAGTATTGCTAAACTTCGACAGCTGACACAAGGGCTGTGAAGCTCCCATTCGCATAGGCCATGGAAATTAGATTTGAATGCAACTTGAACAAGAGGAGGGTGGGTCGTGCCTTTCCCATGTGAAACTAGCAACATGATATTCCCATCATCTGGATGCTTTTAGGTTGTGGTGGAAAGCATGACCATTGGACCAAAGGAAAATCATACCAGTCTGGGAGGTGAGCAAAGAAAACAACATATGTGCCTCTGATACATCCTGGAAGAGTCTTAAAGAAACAGGTGTTAATCCTTACCATCCAGCTAAAGACTAGTGAGGTGGCGGGTATGAAATTCAGCTTCCAGTATGAAATGCATATTGGATGAGAAATGGGCAGGAGAGGGGTCAGGTTAAGCTGAAAATTATCAAGGTATCAAATACCGAGTCAACAGCTGAGAAGGGAATAGAGTCCAAGAGTTCAGAATCATAATCCAGCTATTTCCTCGTAATAAAAGATTTGTTCCAGATAAGGAGATGGAGCCAAGCCTCAAACACACCACTGAGAAACATTTTCAGGCGAGTTGCAAGGAGTTGGCCTGGAAAAGGTACCCTGAGACAAATGAAACTAATTTACTTGCACAAAAGATTTGGACACTAGGGAACTTGGATATTGAATGCTACCTTCCTTCCAAAAACTTCGAGTTCAATCAGCACTCTGCTTCATTACTCACTGCTCTCTTGAATAATGGCAGGCAAGCTCCAGATTTCTTTCACCAGGAGAAAAGTTGAAGATGTGGGTGGAGCACTTTGGAGAGATTTCCAATTTGATTACTTAAAAGCATGCTTAGTATAAGCACAAGCTCCTGGCTCTGCTCATTCCAGATATGGACAGTTACTGTGAATCCACTTATTTTAAGGATCACCATGAAGGAAAAAAGATTGTCCTAAGTATCTCCTAAAATTATCCACTTCTTTTCATCCCCCTGCTACCACCTGAGAAGGCCACCATCTTCTCTCACCTCCATCACAGTGACAGCCACTTGGGTGAGCCTCCTGCCCCCTATCTTATCCTTAATAACTCTTGCCCTGAGATTTCTCCTTGTTGGAGCCAAGGTGATTTTCTAGAAAATGTAATAAAATAAAAATGCTTCCAAGTCAACTCCAACTCACAAAGGCCCCATGTGTGTCAAAGTAGAACTATGCTCCAAAGGGCTTTAAATAGCTGATTTTTCAGAAGTATAATTGCCAGCCTATGAGTATACTTGAACCACCAACCATTTGGTTAACAGCTGAGTGCACTAACCATTGTATGCAGCACACAGAGCTCCAAAATGCAAATACTGTTGTTATTAGGTGGTGTCATATTATTTCTTTGAATAAAATCATGCAAAAGTTCTCATTTTCCCTCAATATCAAGTCCAAACCGCTGGTCATGGTCCCTACTTACATCTTTGGCAAGTGTTCCCCCCTCCTCCTTGATGAATAACCATTTATAATCATAGTAATAAATCCGTTGCTGTCAAGTTGATTCTGACTCACAGCAACCCTAGAGGACAGAGCAGAACTACCCGATAGGTTTTACAAGGCTGTAATCTTTACAGAAGTGGACTGCCACATCTTTCTCTCAGAGAGCAGAGTTTTGGGTTCAAACTGCTGACCTTTCAGTCAGCAGCTGAGTGCTTTTTTAACTACTGTGCCACCAGGGATCCTGTCATAGTCATAGTCACACTTATACCACCAGGTATAGGTTACTTATGTCACTTCCAGGTCTTGGCATATGTATTCTCTCTCTCATGAATGTTCTCCTTTGCCCTCTTTTCCTTGCTAACCCCAATCCATTTATTAATCAACAAATCTTTACTGAATATCCACTATGTGCCAGGTATTGTTCTAGGTGCCTGGAAGACAGTAGTATTGAACAAAACAGACAAAAATGCTTGCCTTTGTAGAATTTACATTCCACAGGGGTTGGAGGAAAGATAAAGAATAAATGTCAGTCAGAATAAAGAGTAACCAAGTAACTTATGTTGACCACTACCTGTCTTTCAGTTTGTTGTACTATGGTGGGTTTTGTGTTATTGTGACGCTGGAAGTTATGCTACCAGTATTTCAAATACCAGCAGGGTCATCCATGGTGAACAGGTTTCAGTAGAGCTTCCAGGCTAAGGTAGAGTAGGAAAAAAGGTCTGACGATTTACTTTCAAAAATTAGCCAATGATATGCTATAGGAGGCGGGGCAAGATGGTGGACTAGGCAGAAGGATTGCACAGACCCTCTTCAACAAAGAAAAGGGAAACCAATTAACACAGACACAGAAGATAATCTTGGACCCCTGAGCCT